CACCCACCCACCCATGTACACAGGAGAGTCATGGGATGCAAAAGTGGAGCTGGCAGGGCCCAGCCAAAGGAAAGCTCTTTCACATCACATTGTCTCCCATGGGAGACAGGTAAGCTTATTTTGGCCGCCGGAATGAAACAGACGGAGACGTGCTTAGATCAGATGGATCACATGTCATGAGATTAATCTGAATGATCTTGATAAACGACCAGTTTCCCAAAACAACCTTTCTGGCAGTAGAAGCCGATGCGGACCCAATTTTCCTGCTCTCAACCATAGTTCCCATAGACTTTAACCAGGTTTAACTGTGGTTAAAATTAAACAGGATCTGAAACGGGGGCCAGTTAGCACTAACTGTGGTTAAGGGCGGTACCAACACCAGCTAATGCAGGAAGAGCAGGGGAAATTCGCAGAGACTGTGGTTGCCTTTCCACTTTAATTTCTTAATCAATCCGGGGCATTATAGCCACAATGACCCCAAGTGAAAATCCCACTCAGCCCTATCTTGTACAATTATTCCTATTTATCTAACCTAAAATGCGAAACAAAGATTACTTTATGAAAAATAAGAGAAACAATACAGTTTAGGGCCAGATTCCGTACACTGGTATTAACAGTCTTCTGCTGTGATTCAATTGCCCATTCAAAATGGTACTTTCACATTATCTATCAGGCCCTGGAAAGAAAAAACAAACGATCCAGACCTGGAGCACGTCCCGTAGAGGGATGCCGCGGCAGGACTGCATACACATGATCTATAGATTTTCTGGTGCCAGATGCAAACTCTAGTTAATTTTGGAGAGCCAACAGAATCACATTAAGATGCAGAGACGGCATTAATCTTATCAATTACAGAGTTCTGTTCTCCTGTCTTTAATTTAATGGAGAAAGCATTTCCTTTACAGCAGAGGAAAGAGAGGAGGGTAATAAATATGCAGCATCTCTCTGTGCCAGACAGCAGCACCAGAATACTGGTCTAGGAAGGCTTTGAACGAAATAATTTGGATGAGCCGATAAAGTAAGCAACGCTTTCCGAATCACTCAGCATACAAATGATTTGCTTTACATGGAGGAACTGAAAGCTAAAAGCATCCGTTTAGAGCAAGCATGGCATCGAAGTAAAAATGTGCTTCTGCTGTAATTCAGCGTAGACACTGAACTAGCCTAAAATCTGACATGAAGCACGGCATTCAGCAGCCCGAGATTTTCCGTCTTCCAGGTACACAAAATTGGGCACCTAGCCCAGGGGTCCCCCGTGGCTTCAGGAAGTGGGGGCGGGGGCGCGAGGGGTGGACTTTTGCCCAGCAAGGCTTCTAATCTGCCCCCGGAGATTTGGTTGGCTGTGCAGATTTTTTAAAAAGGTTGCTTTGGCAGTAGCTGCTACCGGAGCACAAGGGGTTTTCACGGAGTGCCTGAAGGTGAGCCAAGGCAGCCGTTTGGTGGCTTCGCCTCTTGCAGCAGCTGTTTCATGGCAACCATTTGGGCAGCTGTGCCCACCATGTCGTGTCGGAATTCCAAAGAGGCCTGCAGGCTCCAAAAGGTTGGGGACCCTGATCGAGCCTTTAGGGTTTTACAGAGAGGCTGGAACTCCTGGGGAGTATAAGATGTGCAGTGGGTGGAAGGGGGGGGGGTCTTCAACACCCTGAAGAGAGATCTGCCCCTTTCAACACCGGAGCAAAATAGATCATGCCAAGTAAACATCTGGCGCCAGGCGTGATTGATGGGTGTTGCAGCATTCGGCTTTTAGGTGGTCTGGGACTTTGATCCTACACGCGGCCCTGCACAGTAGGCCACCCAACCCCTGAGCCCAGTTGTGACCAACGTTCCCTCTAAGTTGTGGAGTCTTGTGAGCAAAAAATCTACTTTGTGAGCTACTGGCATTAAAGTTGAGAGCGAACGATTTGGCTGCTGCATAAATTAATTTGCTTTGGGCCATCCTTCCTGAGCTAAGACAAAAATGTGTGAGCCAGAGGCTAAAAAACTGTGAGCTGGCTCACACTAACTCAGCTTAGAGGGAACACTGGTTGTGACACTTATCAGGATGCTTATTACCTGCAGGAGCGTTCGGGTCCCTAAGCCAGCCTTTGGCCTGGTTCATCTTGGAATCGATCAAGGCCAACGCCCTCTTCATGGCTTCTGTATCCTTTACGTTTTTAAAAAAGAGGAGATTATTCCAATTAGGTACTACCAGACACCGATTCTGAGGCAACAGAAAACAGAACACAGCCTGCTTGCATGAAAAACAATGCACACAACCACCAGCACACTCCTGTGCCGGACACATTCCTGTCACTCAGGGACCAGGAGTCATAACAGGCATCGGTTTGGGTCTGGCTATGGGCTGTCATTTCGCAAGCAATCTGACCACTCAGCAATGAAGGACTAACTACGCGAATGTTAATGCATTTAAAATGAAACAGCCACACCACTTCTTCTTGCATGCACATTCCACAATCTGCCTCTTCTCCATCAGGGGGCAGCATCAAGTTTTCTGTTTACCCTACGACAGCAGCCCTGTTCGAAAGCGACAGTGAGCACACACAGACAAACCACACACCTGAGTTTCCCTTACAAGTACACTGAGTGATTCTCACGTTCCATTCAACTCAAGTACAGCTGAACGTGCAATTTAAACATCACATTTACCCGGGCCCTGGTTTCGTTTGTAAAGTGAACGCATGTGGGCTCTTTCACACAAACAGATGTACTCATACACACACAGCAGAGGTCATTTCGGGGGGGGAACGTGGGGGAACGCAGTTCCCCCGGGTGAGGTACTGGGGGGCGGGGCACATGATGAAGCCCCGCCCCCTGCTTCCAGCCGCCCCGCTTCCGGCCCTCATTCAGCCAGGAGGAGGCAGGAGAAGAGGGAGGGTAAGTTGCTTCCTCCCTGCCTCTCCCCACCCCTGCCTGCCTGGGGCCAGGGAGGGCCTTCCTTCGCGGGGCTTCCTTGCACTCCCGCCGGCCTTGCAGGTCCACCGCTCGGCAGTGGAGCTGCAAGGCCGGTGGCGGCGGCCGGGACCGTTGGGGGCGGGGTGTGTGGCCTTATGACACACCTCCGGTGATGTCAGGGGGTGTGGCATATGCTAATGAGTTATGCTAATGAGTTCCCCTAGCTCTTTTTCTACGAAATGACCCCTGACACACAGGATGTATGCACGTTCACTGTAACGTGCGAACACAGCTAGCATGGAAGCTAAAAGAGGTGAGTACAGCAACCAACGTGTTAATTCTTAATTATAATTATTAATTGCTATAGACAAGCCTCATCAGAACATCCACCGTCTTCCCACAAGCCTCAAAGCTGGAAGTCCCTCCTCCTCCCCACGAAGAAGAGCCCTTCCGGGCAAAATCAGCCATGGGGGACAGGTGTGACAATACAAACCACCTGAGTGAGAAGCGGAGTTTCTCAGTTCACCCTCCTCCAGTGACCAGAGGCAGGAGATAGAACCTGCAAAGGGCTGTTATCATTTTGCCCTGCTCCCAAACGTCACATACATAAAGACTGCCACTGCTCACACTGCAGAACTTCACACGTGAATTAGAATTCCTCACAAACAGCGCATCACTTTGTTATGCAAAGGAAGCATCAACAAGAGCACAGAGAAGGCCTTTTCACACATCCTGTTGCATGCACACCTAAAGATGCCACATGCCACAAAGACACATTTGAAATCCTGGGTACACGAGTCAGGAGCTAGCCCTTATGTCAGCTCAGTAGATTACTCTGGTACGTGCGAAAGCTCTCATACATGGAACCCTCGCAGAGCAGGGAAAGGAGTCACGAACTGTTGGCCTACAAAGGCTACGCATTCATTACGATTTTCCCCATTTTGTTAGCTTTTCTGCTCCTGCAGCCTTACTAGGCGTTAGGGTTAGGGTAGTATTATTTTTGTAGCTGCTAAACATAAGTGCTTAATGGCCTTAGGACTGGCCTTTGCCAATTTTGGAGGGGAAGAGAGGAGGAGGAGGAGGAGGAGGAGGAGGAGGAGAAGAAGAAGAAGAAGAAGAAGAAGAAGAAGAAGAAGAAGAAGA